GCTTGGCCTGCTGTGTTCATCCAGCTCTACATCTTAGACAACAAGGTACAGGGCTGGATGAACACAGCAGGCCAAGCAGCATCACAGGACATCTTGTTGTCTTAAAACACTGCCTCCTTTAGGTTGTTGCTAGTATCTGGCTGGCCACCAGAAGTGGTACATACAGCTCAGGAACTCAGTTTGAAACACAACAGTACAATATAATCTTGGGATCTGGGGAGATATCACAAAAATGGGTGCTACCACTTTCTGCACCCATTAGAATGCCCCACAAACGCTGTCAGTGCCCCAGATCATCTCTGAGATTCATACACCCATCCAAGTCCATCCTGACTCACACACCAGTCATTTTACACCAGGGCCACATTGACGAAAAGAATTTTTCCAAATATGCTTCCATGAAAGTATATATGTAAAGCATCACACCTTGGAATGTCGTTCCTCATATCATTTCTATGGTGGTGAGAAAAAAAGTTGCTAATACAGTGATACACCAACAGAGGGAGACAGAGGATTACAGAGACAGTACGAACTGCAGATGCTGGAGAATCTGGGATAACAATTTTCTGAAGAAGGGTCTAGCCCCGAAACGTCAGCCTTCCTGCTCCTCTGATGCTGCTTGGCCTGCTGTGTTCATCCAGCTCTACACCTTGTTAACTAATTACAGAGATACCTAGAGAAATGTAACTATTTACAGAGGTACAGAGGGAGGTGTAACTGGTTTCTGGTTTTCCAGTAATAGGTGCATGGGGAGAGAGTTTTTGGGATTAGTTTCAGAATGATAAAGGGATATGGGGTGAAAGTTGGCCAGTGGGATCAGTTTGAGAATGATGCAGAAATATGGGGAGACAGTGGGATCAGTTTGGGAATGATACAGGGATATGGCGAGAGAGCTGGAAGTGGAGCAGGTTTGAAACTGATTTAAGAAACAGCTGCTATCGACATCATGGGCTGAATGGCTTCTTGCTCATGCTGGGATCAAACATTGCACAACTACAACTACCAGTGAGCAAATACCGCCATAGAATATCTGCTGTAGAACCAGATGTGGGAGGGAATGAGCTGGGAAAGGTCTCCCAGCAGGAGATTGAGGGGGACTGTAAATCTGTTGACGAGAGGGTTTGACCGCACTGAGCCTGTTGGGAATGACCCTCCCTCTTAGGAACCCTCGTTCCACCCACAGACTCCTGCTACCCAGCCGAGGACAGATGAAGAGTGAAGGGTTGTGCTTCAGAGCACCAGTCTGAGGAAGACCAGGGGGAGAGCAATGCTGAGGGAGGTGCTGAGTCGGGTTGGGCCAGACGTGGAAGTGGTTGTGGAAATGGTGGCAGAAGCATTGAGCATGGTTGGTCCAGCACCGGGAACAGTAGAGGAGCCATTGAGTTGGGTTGGAGCCATGTTCGTTATACTGGTGGGGAGAGGTGTGGAGGCATTGGGTAGGACTGGAGCCATGTTCGTTATACTGGTGGGGAGAGGCGTGGAGGCATTGGGTTGGGTTAGGTTAGTGTTGGGAGTAGTGGTCAGGGTGAAATTCCGTGACTCGAGATTGCACAGGCCGCCCTTGCAGCAGTAGAATCCGTAGGTCGGATCGAGACCGTTCAAACTGAGACCACCAGGATTTTGACAGAGGAAGTGGGAAGCACAGCCCTTCATCACGAAAATCATTGAGTTGGCTGTTTGGGAGGAAAAAGAGAGCCATTTAGTTTGATACCTTCCCTTTGGATTCAAAATCTCCATCATCTACCACCAGATCACCTGCACTGTTCCACCCCTCTCCCCCTCTGATTCCCATAGGAGGAGGCCATTCAGCCCCTTGTATCCTTGAAATAGATCATGACCAATCTGTACTTTAACTCCACCTCAGAACGATAGCCCTTAATTTCCAAAGCCAACAGAAACCCATCAAGAAATAAAATGAACTGTTTCAGAGATAGCAGGAACTGCAGATGCTGGAGAATCTGCGATAACAAGGTGCAGAGCTGGATGAACATAGCAGGCCAATCCTCCTGCTCCTCCTGCTCCTCTGATGCTGCTTGGCCTGCTGTGTTCATCCAGCTCTGCACCTTGTTATCTAAGAAATAAAATGAACCTCGTTTTTCCGCTTGGGGACTCTGCACACTTTGGGGCCTGATCATGAGCTCAATTCCTCCAGAGCCGGAACACTTTCTTCACGCCCACCCTGGGCCCTGTCATCACATAGGCTGCTTTAAGCACAACTAATCCATTTTCCCCTCCTTATGGTACCCCATTATCAGCCAGTAGTGGGAATAAATTTCCTGCATTGCCTGAGGTGCCTGATGGACTCTTTCCCAACCTTTTCCTCTTGCCTGAGGTGTAGTGACTCTCAGGTTAAACCACAAGCAGTCATCTCTCTCCCTCTCTCTAATGACAGCGTGAGGCTGTGGTGACCTGACTTTATATTTGTGGCCCCTAGTTCTGCTCTCCCCACACCCAAACATCTTCCATCACATCAACCTTATTCAAAACCAAGTCACAATCTTAAAGACCTCAATCTTCCCATTTGTGGAGTCATAGAGTCATAGGGCACGGAAACAGACCCTTTAGTCTGACCAGTCCTTGCCAAACATAAACTAGTCCCAAAGGACCCCAGTAAGTTCTCTCTTCCCTGATAACAATTTCTTCATGGAGTGCTGGAACATTTCTGAATTTTTTTTTGTCATAGAGCCTCCTCAGTTATTGAACTGTGAGAATGTGGAACTCACACCCACAGGGAGTGGTCAATGTGAGCTGTACAGACGCGTTTAAGGGAGTTGCTGGATAAAGATCAGAAACTCAACCGGACTTGCCACATAAATACTGTGGCTACAACAGCAGGTCAGAGGTTAGGCATCCTGCAGTGAGTAACTCACTCCCTGACTCCCCAAAACCTGTCCACCATCTACAAAACACAAGTCAGGAGTGCGATGGAATACTCCCCACTTGCCCTGGAAGGGGGCAGCTCCAACAACATTCAAGAAGCTCGACACCATCCAGGACAAAGCAGCCCCCGCTCAATTGGCACCACATCCACAAACATCCCACTCCCTCCCCCACCGACGCTCAGTTGCAGCAGTGTGTACCATCTACAAGATGTGCTGCAGAAATTCACCAAAGATCCTCAGACAGCACCTTCCAAACCCACGACCACTTCCATCTAGAAGGACAAGGGGCAGCAGATACATGGGAACACCAGCCCCCTGGAAGTTCCCCTCCGAGCCACTCCCCATCCTGACTTGGAAACATATTGGCTGTTCCTTCAGTGTCACTGGGTCAAAATCCTGGAATTCCCTCCGTAAGGGGCATTGTGTGTCTCCCTACAGCACATGGACTGCAGCGGTTCAAGAAGGTAGCTCACCCCCACCTTCTCAAGGGGGCAACTGGGGACAGGGGCAATAAATGCTGGACCCAGTCAGCAAGACCAATGTGCCACAAGTGAAAAAAAAGACAGGAGGAAGGAAGGAACAGGAGGTTATGAGTGGGGTTAAAATCAGGGGAGGTTTCTGAGAGGAATGTGAGGCTATTCATGTAGAGTGAGATGACGAGAGGGTGGAAGAGACTGATATGATGCATAAACCCCAGTGTGGAGCAGATGCCTCTGCTGTAAACATTGTACACAGGCTCTGCCAGTAATTTTATATCGCTCGGTAAAGTGATAAGTAAAAGACTAGGACTTACACCCTGTCAGAAGCCCTGAAGTGTGCAGGCAATGATCTTGCTCTCCTCTACATTTCACTGGGGTTGTCAAATTTCTGCACTCGTCTGCAAAAGCAAAGCATGCGTGGCATTCCAGTCCATTCAGCGTGCTGTTCTCGATGTCTGAAATGTGAACAGACAGCAACGTGAACCGGTCCCGATCTGCTCTTCAGAACTTTTCAAAGCACTAAACCCCACCCAGTAAGATATCGCAGCTGTGCCCACTGAGGATGCAGGCATGTGGATACATTAGAAAAGTCCAGCATATTCCACATCCATGTCTGACTTACCCATCAAGGACCATCTCTTACTGAGATTATGCTCGTGAGAAATCTGGAATGCCTCCAGGTCCAGATGGATTTCATCCTTGGGATTTTAGTAGCGGTGGCTAATGAGGTAGTTGAGGTTAATTATCTAAAGTTTTCTCGATTGAAGGCACAGTGGCTCAGTGGTTAGCATTGCTGACTCACAGTGCCAGGAACCCGGGTTCGATCCCACCCTCGGGCAACTGTCTGTGTGGAGTTTACACATTCTTCCCGTGTCTGCGTGGGTTTCCTCTGGGTGCTCCAGTTTCCTCCCACAGTCCAAAGATGTGCAGGGTAGGTGGATTGGCCATGCTAAATTGCCCGTAGTGCTCAGGGATGTGTAGATTAGGTGGGTTATAGGGGGATGGGTCTAGGTAGGATGCTCTGAGGATCAGTGTGGACTAGTTGGGCTGAAGGGCCTGTTTCCACACTGTAGGGATTCTATGGTTCAGGAAAAGGTTTCCTGGGACTGGGAAGTAGCAATTATAATCCCTTCGTTTAAGAAGGGAGGCAGGCAGAAACAGAAAAATATAGGCCAGTTAGATTGACATTTGACATGGGGAAAGTGTGAAAATCAATCATTAATAAGATACACATTCAGTAAAATCCAAGATAATCAGAAAGTATCAGCGTGGTTTCATGGAGGGGAAATCGTTTTTAATCAGTTTACTGGAATTCCTTGAAGGAATAACGTGCACTGTGGATAAATGGGAACCATACTTAGATTTCCAGAAATAGCCACATCAAAGGCTATTGCAGGAAATAAAAGCTCATGGTACACAAAGTAAAATAGGAGCATAGATAGAAGATTGTGTGGCTGGCAGAGAAAAGAGCATGCACATGTACAGATCTTTGTACAATTGGCAGGATATGATGAGTGGCGTCCTCAATCTTTTACAATGTACATCATTGACTTAGATGAGAGGTGTGAAAGCCTTGTAGCTAAATTCAGATGACATCAAGATAAGCAGGAAGGTCTGTTGCGGAGAAGACATGAGGAAGCTGCAGGCTTGGTTAGGGGAGTGGTGTGATTTGAGGCATGTGATTTATCTATATTTTTAATATCGTTTCTTTTGAGTTGGGATTTTGAATTAGTGGCATGTGGGTTTTGGTCCACATGTCTCAAGGGATATAATGATTAAGTCTTAAGCATTTCTGGAGGCATGGTGGTTTTTTCTATGAGAGAGCTAATGAGATGCAATCCATTGCTATGAGAGAAATTGAACATGGAAGTAAAGATGTTCTGTTTCAGTTATTAGTGAGACCACATCTCAAATACTGCGTGCAGTTTTGCTCTCCTTATTTAAGGAAGGATGTGAATGTGTTAGAGACGGTTCAGAGGAGATTGACTAGATTGATACAAAGAGTGTATTTCTGTCTTCTGAGGATAGGTTGGACAAGACTGGAATTCGAAAGCAAAACAGATCGCATGGGCGCATGGTGGCTCAGTGGTTAGCAATGCTGCCTCACAGCACCAGGGACCTGGGTTCGATTCCACCCTCGGACGACTGTCTGTGTGGAGTTTGCACATTCTGCGTGGGTTTCCTCCCACAGTCCAAAGATGTGCAGGCTAGGTGAATTGGTCATGCTATATAGTGTTCAGGGATGTGTAGATTAGGGGGTTATAGGGAGATGGGTCTGGGTGGGATGCTCTGAGGGTCAGTGTGGACTTGTTGGGCTGAAGGGCCTGTTTTCCACACTGAAGGGATTCTATGAGATCAACTATGAAATTATTACTGTCAAAGAAGCTTTGAGGAACCAAGGGGAATACATTCATAAATTCTCAGCGCTAGAGGATTTGTTGTAACCACACCTTGAGTTCCTGCAGTGGGGACATGTGTTAGCATCGTCAGAAACTGCTTCATCACCACTGGTGGAAATTCAAACTTCTGAAACATGAACGAATAAGTGACGAATAACGTTGGGTGACATTTTAAAAAGGCTCTGTGCCTGCTGAGTGGGTGACTATTTTCCTTCCTCAAACTCTCCCTTTTCCATTTTTATCAAGTAATCTATACAGAAGGATTGAGGAAACCGAATCAACTTATTTACCCAAAATGGGAGCTGTTTCCCATTCCTCTGGCAGAGATTGGTTTCGATAACACCATTGTCTAAAGGGGAAAATCAACGACGAACAAGTTATATTGGCGCAATCAAGAATGTTAACAGGCAGTAATAAGAACTTGGGGAAATCCCAACTTCAGACAAAGAGCTACTTGACAAAGAAAGTTTTTTTTTATACATTGATTGGGATTTGGTTCTAAATATGGCATGAGAGGGAAAAAAAAAAACCCTTGAAGAAAAGACATCATATAACCTCAAATAAATTAAAGGAATTGAACAGTTTCCCCAGGAAAAATTGGAACAATTGAAATTAAATTGGTTTTACATGAGTCAATTTAAAACTATTAAGGATAAATACTACACTAGGCCCCCTTTTATTTCTGTCGAGCAGAGACACAAGGAGAAGTGATGGCCTGGTGGTTTTTATGACGAGACTATTAATCCTGAAACTCAGCTAATGTTCTGGGGGCCCCAAGAGTTCAATTATTTCAGGGGCTGTTGTGGTGGGCTGGTAGAGTTCCCACTTCTGAGCCAGGAAGGCCTGGGTTCAAGTCCCACCTACTCCTGAGGTGTGCCATAACATATCTGAACATGCTGAATTAAAAAAAAAAGCTAGACTACTAAGAAAATATAACAGTTGGTCCCTTTTCTTCTGTACAGCAGAGACACAAGGGAGATATGATTAAACCAGAGACCCAGTTAATGTTCCAGATTCAAACCCAGGTGGCATCTGGGATTAAGAATCTAATGATGACCATGAATCCATTGTCAGAAAAACCAAGCTGGTTCACTAATGCCCTTTAGGGAAGGAAACCTGCCATCCTTACCTGGTCTGGCCTTGCACATGACTCCAGATCCACAGCAATAGAGATAATACTTCATTGTCCCCTGGGCAATTAAGGATGAGGAATAAATGTTGGCCTAGACAGTAACTCCCACAAATGAATTTTTACATCATTGAATCCCTGCAGTGCAGAAGCAGGCTATTCAGCTCATCGGGTCGTGCCAAGCATCCCACCCAGACCCACGCTATACCCTATCTGTGCATAATTATTTGAGCAGCACGGTGGCTCAGTGGTTAGCACTGCTGCCTCACAGTACCAGGGGCCAGGGTTCAATTCCAGCCTCAGCTACAGTCTGCGTGGAGTTTGCATGTTCTCCCTGTGCATTCGGATGCTTCAGTTTCCACCCACAGTCCAAAGAGGTGCAGCTTAGGTGGATTAGCCATGGGCAATGCAGGGATAGGGTGGAATGCTCTTTGGAGAGCTGGTGGTGACTTGATGGGCTGAGGGCCTGAATGGCAGAGATTCTATGAAATGGAACTGCCTGGGAATAGGGGAAGGAATCCATTCGTTGGAAGATCATCACAGGATTGTCACTGTAGGTGGAAGCCATTGTGTCTGTGTCAGAAATGTAAAAATAAGGGGCAGGACAATGCTATGCCTAGTTCAGCCTCAGATAACAACTGAAGAATGGTCTCTGGACTTGAAATGTTAACTCTGTTTCTCTGTCCACAAATGCCACCAGAGCTGCTGACTCTCTCTAGCATTCTCTATGCCAATGACAACTAATTTCCCCTCACCTTGAGGAAGTGAAGGCATTACTGCTCAATTATTAATCCCAGAGACCCAAGTAATTTCCTGGGTTTGAATCCTGCTACGGCAGATGCTGGAATTTGAATTCAATTTAAAAAAAACCTTGAAATTAAGAGTCTAAAGGTGACTATGAAATCATTGTCAAAGGAAAAACCCATCTGGTTCACTAGGGACACTTCAGGGAACAAACTGCCATCCTTACCTGGTCTGGTTTGACAGGAGTGCTGTGTCCAGTTCCAGTCTCCCAGTTATGGGAAGGATATTATTAACCTGGAGAAGGCTCAGAAGAGATTTACCAGGATGTTGCCGGGAATGGAAGGTTTGAGCTGTAAGGAAAGGCTGGGACTTTTGTCACTAGAGCATAAGAGGTTGAGAGGTGACTTTACAGAAGTTTCTAAAGTAATGAGGTATACAGATAGGGTTAATGGTAGGTGCCTTTTCTGTAGGATAGAGGATTTCAAGATAAGCTGAGAGGAGATAGATTTAAAAAGGACATAAAAGGGACTTTGTTTTACACAGAGGGTGTTTCACGAGTGAAGTGAGCTTTCTGAGGAAGTGGTGGATGTGGGTACAGTTACAACATTTAAAAGACACTGAGATAAGTACGTGAATAGGAAAGGTTTGGAGGGATATGGGTCAGGAGCAGGCAGATGGGACTAGTTTAGTTTGGGGTTATGTTCGGCATGGACTGGATAGACCCAAGGGTCTGTTTCCTTCCTCTACGTGACTCCAGGTCCACAGCAATGGAATTTACTCTTAAGTGCCCTCTGGGCAAATGAGGTGATAAATGCTAGTGACTATTGACACCCAAATCCTGCGAATGAACTTTGATATTTTAATTTAGTAAATTTTTGATCCGTCATATATATCTCTGTTTGATTATTTTGAATTTGTGTTGGATTTCAGCGTAATGCCCCACCAGAGACTGTCTTATCCCTATTATCATTTTGAATTCCCTGAAAGGATGAAGAGAACTTTTATCTTAACACCAAAAGAACTGCAGATGCTGTAAATCAGGAACGTAAACAAACCCTTCCTTCTGAGGAAGGGTCATCGGACTCGAAATGTTAACTCTGTTTTCTCCTCCACAGATGCTGCCAGACCTGCTGAGCTTTTCCAGCAACTTTGTTTTCGTTTTATTTTAACATTCTGTCCCAGAAATGTTTGCTGTGGTCAGTGTGAGGGGAACTTTATTTTCAGTTCCAAATGGAATTTCCTCTGCATTTTAACCCTGTCTTGGAACATTTGATGATGTGGATATGTTGGACTGGGAGTGGACAAGGTCAGAAATCACACGACACCAGGTTATGGTCCAACAGGTTTATTTGAAAACACAAGCTTTCGGAGCCTCGCTCCTTCTTCAGATGTACGTGGGGAGCGGAGCTGAGGGGACTTATGCTTTAGGTTTACTTTGAGTTCAGATGAGCAGAGGAAAGTTTAGTTTGTATTTTAACCCCTTGTTGCGTTGAGGGACTGTCATGTTTCAGAGTCGAAGGAACTTTATTTTGAGCTCAGAAGAGTCAAGGGACCTTTGAGTTCCAAAGAGTCAAGGAAACTTTAATTTTCTGTTTAGAAAGAGAAGAGTGAGTATTACTCTGCATTTTACCCAGTGCTTCCCCTATCCTGGGAGTGTCTGATGGGGACGGGTTGAGGGGATTTTTCCTTTTAGATCATCACTTAAAACAGTAGCGTCATGTTCCGGGTTTGGGTGGAGACCTTGGCAAAAAGGAAGCAGTGCAAGGACAGAAACCAAGCAGCTGATGGAGACAGAAGTCCCTCCCTTTCTAAAGGAGCCCTGAACTTACCCAGCTCTCAGTACAGTAGTAGCAGTGGCACACCATTCTCACTCACTTCAGCACTGAACCTGATAGAGATAGAAGGAACTGCAGATGCTGGAGAATCTGAGACAACAAGGCGTAGAGCTGGATGAACACAGC